TACAGACCGGTTCCCGCTCACTGGCTGAGCGAGGCGCAGGAGCAACATCGAGGCTTGCGATCCCGTTGCCGGTCCCCGGTCCGGTACGGGGGCAACACTGAGGGTTGCGATCCGTTGCTGGACATGGAAAAAAGACAAAAGACAAAAAAAACCAAAAACATTCATGGAAACCCTTGTAAGCACAGCTACTCTTCAGTGATCAAGTCACTCTCCAACTCAGTCTTGAAAACAGATTCTCGTTACCCTGTAAGGGTATATATGTCATACAAAATATTTATTTGAATTGAAAAGCAATTTATTCTTATTAATCATAAAACTTGCTTATCTTGACATTGGCTGACTAAAGTTCTGGTGGAGGATACTGCTGTGCTTAACTCAAAGCCTGTGTCGGCTAGGAAAAACCAGTAGATAAACTAACCATTTTCACTTACCAGTCTCCTTCCAGTGAGAATGGGATTTGTAGTAGTGCCTTGTTTTCTCCACCTGTGAAATTCAACCAACTTGAATCTATTATTCATTGCCTAGAAGTCCAAAAGTGTAAGTCGTTAAAACTTTTCACTGAAATATAATATGCACATAATATCACGAATACACACACAAACCGTAAGTATGCAGTTCTATGAATAGTCATGAAATGAACATGCCTTTGTAACCAGTACCTAGATTAAGAAATAGAACATTAACAGGACCCAGAAAGCTGCCCTCGTGGGCCTTGGGAGTAGTTTAAGGTAATTTAAAGATAGTAGTGGTTATATTCAAGGACTTAGGCAGATGGACACCTTGCAAGAAAATAAATATTGGTTGACTTTGTATTTGAGGCATGGCAGTGTTCGCACAAGGGGACAGGACTTGGATTAGAAGGCAAGTTACTTGTGTCGAGTTGTATTCCTTTGTTACATACACTTGTAGAGTGAGGCAGTACTGCAGGAGGGGCCAAGCCAGTGGGGAATGCCTGCTGGAGCCTTCTGAAGCTCTCAGAAGGAAGATAATACTTACACGCCTATGGCCTTTATGACCTCGGGGCTTGATCCTTTGTTTCTCCAAGCCAAGTCCCCTCCTCTCTTAGAACGAAGTAAGGAAAGAGGGCTTCATTAAGTATGTGATTTCCTACCCTGTTTTCAGTAGGGATACTATACCTGCCCTGGCGAATGCCATCAAAAAGAGGAGTCGGTAGACAAAAAGAATTCTGTGTTCCGGCTGCTATAGGAGCAGGTCTCTGATCTGCTTAAAAGAAATTCTCCTGCATCCCTGCTACTCTAAGAACTAAGTTCTTGGTGCATGTTGCATCACAGCTGTTGCTCAGTTCTCAGAATTTCTTTTGTCTTGCCTTCAAGTAACATTTACTTCTTTGCTCATTCCTCTGCACTAAAAAAAAACAACATAAAACCTAGACACTTGAACAGATTTCCCAAAAACACACGAAAAAGACTGAGGAAATAGGAGTTGAGGGAGATAAGGGACTGGGCAAGTACAATACCATAATTCTAATTTTCACTTATTCACTATTAAAAAAATAGGTATTGGCTCTTTTACATCTTTGATAATGTGACTTCTAAAAATGTATGTATCCATTTTAATAAAATTTCTTTACCAAGAATAGTTTAGGTGACAAAACTTGTAAAATAGCTCTCTGTGCTTCTCTAAGATACTTCCTTCCCATAGAAGGCCTCCTTTTATTCTCCTTTTATTCCCAGTGTCTCTATTTACAAACTCAGCTGCTTCCTCACTAGTGCTTGCTCAGGTCTGTTAACTGGGGGTGAATGTCTTTCCTTCCCCACCTGCCATAACTCTGTCTCTCATTCTGTCCTCTCAGTACAGTTTGGTCTGTCGTGAAGAGTATCCTGAGAAAGGATGGCCCCTTGGGCTTCTACCATGGACTCTCAAGCACTTTACTTCGAGAAGTACCAGGCTATTTCTTCTTCTTTGGTGGCTATGAACTGAGCCGATCATTTTTTGCATCAGGGAGATCAAAAGACGAACTAGGTAAATGTGTTTGCATTGCAGTAGTTGGATATGTATGACAGTGTCCACTTCCCAAAGGTGTGCTTTCTGTGGATTCTCTTCTCTATGCACCACCGTGCTCCACCCCTCCCCTGGGGAGGGGGTCCACTTGGCCCCAAGAAGTTTCTGGATGCTGGAAAGTAACACATGGAATTGGCAATTGCTAGCACCCTTCCTCCAGGCTTGGTAATTTCTTCAGGACAGGGGCCAAAGCAATACATCCGTAAGTTCTTTACTGGGAATAACATTTCTTAATTGTTCTGAATCCATTTTAGGGAGAGAAGAAATACAGAAATTACTTTTCCATGGGGAAATCACCTATAAACTTGCAGTAAACTTAAAACTTGGTAATAAATGTTGATAATGTTTTGAGAGCAGTGAAAAGGATAGTTCTATCTAGCTTATATTGTTGAGCTGCTTGACACACTTTGTGCAATATTTGGCTTGCATAAGTAAGTGTTTTGGTTTTTGCAGCTGGCCAGGATGGGGATCCAACCCTTGACTTTGGTGTAATAACACAGCGCTGTAATCAACTGAGCTAACAGGCCAGCCCTGAGTCAGTTTTTCTTAAACATGTCCTTTCAGTGTGTTAGATTTCTTCGGGGGGTAGTCAAACTCCAGACTTAACTGCTGTGTTTAATAAAGCCATTTTGGTTTTTATAGTACAAGTAGAATGAGGGCTGGTGGATGGTAAAATATGAACATATTTAACAGTGAGAAAGTTGGTAAAAGATGCGGCCTGTGTTTCGGGTGCCTCTCACTCTTGTGGGAAGGCATTGCCCTGCTGCTGGGGGCCTGCTGGTTCCATGCAGGCCAGCTCTCTGGAGGATGGTCAGGAGGGAAAGAGCACCTCAGTGACCACCCTAAATGTAACCCTCACTAGGGCTTCTTGTCCTGGTGAGACCCAGGGGTGGGCGTGGACTACCAAACAGAAGCTTATTTCCTTAGAGCTCAGTAACAAGAGCTTTGATGGTTTCCTCAAAGAATTGTGTTTTGCAGCCTCAGCATTTTTATTTTCTCCTACCTGCGGCCATTGCTGCGTTGACCTCTGGAAATGTCACATCACCTGTTCTTAAGACAAAATACCCTTGACTATTTTTCTTCTCTAGGCCCTGCACCTTTGATGTTAAGCGGTGGAGTTGGTGGGATTTGCCTCTGGCTTGCTGTATATCCAGTGGATTGTATCAAATCCAGAATTCAAGTTCTTTCCATGTCTGGAAGACAGGCAGGCTTTATCGGAACCTTTTTAAGTGCCGTGAGAAATGAAGGTGAGTGTGCTGATTGTAGAAACAGAGCAGGTCTGGGGAGGGATGGGTCTCTTTACTGCTGGTCCTGTCGTGTCGAGGTGTGATGAGCTGTGCAATTGCTCTATTCTCCCACCTCATAGTCTTCTCTACCCTGCGTGTTAATCCACCTGCGTGGACTTCTGTTCCCAAACCCCTTCCTTCAGTTTACTTTCATTGTTTCCAAGAATGTTTAAAGATCTTGTTCTTAACCCTCTGGCCAGATAGTTGTCAGGATTCTTTGTTCTAAATAGCCTGGAAGGAAGTTTTTAAATGTGAACTTTGTCCAAGGGAACAGATGCTTTGAAGTTAGCACCACCTGCTTTTACATAATACAGGTATTATCAGAAGATGATCTCTAACAGCACCACTAAGGGATTTAAAAGAATGTGCAGTCCTAGTGCTAAGACTTCTGGAATTACAAGTGGATGGAGCAATTTCTGAAGGTCATTTGCTATCAATTTTCAGAGTTATACAGGAGGATAAAGACTTTCTAAGTAATGCTTGTATAAAGCCAACTTTATGCAACCAGTGGGTAAAGACCTGTCCTTCCAACATCTACCACACATTTTAAAACTCGATTTTAAAAAGAGAGAGCACAGTAACTTAGAAACCTTTTAATTCCTGTCCCAAGTAGAGCACAGACATCTTGTATATTACTAATAGTAACCTCCCTTTACATTTGCTTAACATTTTATAGTTTTATGAAATACTTACATCTTGTTATCCAAGGTGCTCTTGCCACTGCCCTGTGAAAAACTGCAAAGCTGCTGCCACCTCCAGCTCTGTGGTTGCCTTTGTCAGGCCATGTCAGGCCTCAGCTCTGTCCCACCCATATACCAGGAGTGAACCAGGCATGGAATTGGTATAACTGAGCATCAGTCAGCTTTGCCAGAAGACCTGGCACCTGTCCTTGTTTCCATTAGTCTATTTAGGGAAACGTGGGAATAAGTCCTTCCGTGACTTGTTGGTTTTCACTGCTGTTGTCTGGAGTTGTAAGTGTAAATGTACCTATGCTGCGCAGCCACGTGGGGCATCCCTAAGGAGGGGAGGGCCACAGTCTTTGATCACTGTTTCATCTTTTAGGAATAATGGCCTTGTATTCTGGACTGAAACCTACTATGATTCGAGCGTTCCCTGCCAACGGGGCATTATTTTTGGCCTATGAATACAGCAGGAAGTTGATGATGAGCCAGCTGGAAGCATACTGAAACATCCTGGCGGGCCTGGATGCAAGCACAGGTGTCGAGGACTCCAGTTCATCTCAGGGTTTCACGGAGTACAAGACCAACATGGAATTACTTGGATTTCTTGGGAATTTTGTTTTTGTCTTCCCTTCTTCTACCCTAAATATTAAGCTATATGGAAGGACCTCTAATTTACACCATATAATTTCTGCCCATAATTGTGCTGAAATAGAAAAGTTGCTGCTCTTGCCCTTGGTAGAATATACAGGGTGGCTGGTGGCCTAATGAACTCAATTTGAAAGGCTGAATGTAGTTCTCTCAGGGCTTTTGCATAAACCTATACGTGTACTTGCAGTTTGGATGTCATGTGTTGAGGAGCCAACACAATTTGGTTCCATCTTTAATCTCGAGTGTTAGCAGAAAAACCCACAGATGGCCATTTTCATGAAGATTGTTATAAATAATTGCTTAAGCCATTGTAGATGTAGGGTCTCTTAAAGTCTGCTTAACACGTGTACTGTATTAAGTGGTTGAAGTTTTTCAAAAGTTTTCATTTGGTGCTTGAAAAGTAAAATATTAATATAGATTTTTAAGAGAATAACCTGCACACTGGTGGGGCTTCCACATTCTTGAGTTAATGTTGCAGAGTAGGCAATCTGGATTTCTCCAAGATGCTCTACTCTTAAAATAGTGCCATTCATTTTCTAGGTGGGATCATATTCCGCACTCTGACTAGGTGATATTGCTAGATGTGGCCTAGAGGATCAGGCCTTTGGAACATAGCACGGCCTTCACCAAATTCCCTTCCTCTCTCCCAAAGAGCTTCCTCTCTGCTGAGCCTTAGATTGAGGAAGGGGCTGAGGGGATGGGCAGTACTGCTGTGCTTTGATGAATCCCCCCATGGCTGGATGTTCCACATGGAACAGCTCTTAAGTTCCATCTTTGGGTCTTGGCCTGGGTAGGAACCAGGGTGTTCTGTTGACGCCCATCTGGGGCTATCAGTCCACTTTGGACCACTTGCTGTCCTCTCTGCCTCCACCAATCAGAAGCCCTTCCAAGGAACAGAGTGCCAAAGCCAAGAGAAGTCTTTGTTTCCTGTTTTGTGATCAGGTGACAGTACTATGGCCGAAGTCCTCTCCTCTCCGATGGAGCTAGAAAGAACTCAGTGCTCATACTCCACAGTAAGTAATGTCAGGGCTGACCTATCCTGAAATTTACCCCGCATCTATAAATTCTTGCCATGGCTTTTATAGAAGCCTTCTAATTTGGTACTGGCAGTCAGTGAATTTTAATGATGACTGTATATGGGGTGTGTCTCTATAAAGCAATGGAAATAAGAAGAGCAATTTCATTAAACTGTGCTATATGTACATACATACCAACAAAAAAAGCCAACCCACAGCTCATCTGATTCCCGCAGACTTGGGGATGGGAGGCTGTTCTTTGGCCATATGGTGTAAGAGGGTCATTCTTGTCACCACTACAGTAAGCCTCATCATTCCATGCTGCTCCAAGAGCAGCAGCGTCTCTCTCATAAAGTCTTCTTAAGCAGCCTACAAAGCTGACAGCAAGCAGGCTGACAATTTTAAAGCAAGGGGGTCAGGGAAATGAGGGTGACACACGGGGAGGGAAGATGTGTTGCCGTGGACATTTGGGAAAGGGATGCTTGTCATGCCCAATGTGATCCATTCCATTTGCTTTTTAGGAGAAAACTATTTTTCTCTTTACTGTTTTCTCCATACTTAAATAGTCAGGAGCTACTGAGTGGTTCCTTATCTGAACAGGCCTGGGTTGAAGCATAATACAAAGTCGGACTGGCTTCCGCAGGAAGGGAACCACTTCAGAGTCCACGTTTCCCCAGCCCGGAGCCCAGAGCTAGGTAAAGTTAGCCTTGTTGGCAGTAGATCTTCACACAGGTCATCGATTAAAGATTTAACTAAATATCTTCAATAGAAATAGTCTGAGGCAAGTGGGAATGAAGAATGGAAACCTAAATCAGGAGAATTTTTTTATTCTATTTTAATTCATGCTTCAATATTTGGGTAAAATTTGTATCGTTTCAGATGTGTACTGCAGACAAAAATATAGTAGCTTGAAATATTATTTAAAGAAGTTTGAGTGTTCTGTCATCATTAAATTATTTACCTAATATTTGAGTCTGTGATGAGTTTTAATTGCTTTATGTCCACACTAAGAACCAACTGTCATGAGTGTTATGTATAGTAATATTTCAAGGTGGTGGTTTTATTGCAACAAGTATTGTTTTTAATCAGCAAGATTCTTGATGTAAAATAATTTCACTGTAGGTAAGCTGACAAAAACGGGTTGTTTGTACACACTGCACTTATGTATTAGTTTCTCTCTCCAACTCCCTTTGTCCATTTTTTAAAATAATTAAATTGCTTGCTATTAAGTTTGGGGTAATTCTCTTTAAGAAAACGAATATAATTCTGATATGTTATGATGTAAGTTTCTCAAGTTGTTCAAAGCAAGCAATACCCCAAGGGACCTAAGTACATTTTCTTTATGTGAGCAAAAGCAGAATAGTGTGGCAACTCATAATTGCCAGAAATTGTGATGGGTCGTGGAGGGTTGTTGGGGATGAGAAACCTCAACTGTAACTACCTTATTTCAAAAACCAAGATTCTTAAAATAAAAATTGGGGCTTTCTTCCCTCCTTATTGCCAGTATTGAAAAAGACAGGTCTTACTCATCACTGAGCCAGCTGAGTATTTCTTTTCCCCATTCACCTAAACCTGCCCATAATCTTCCCTCTGGGTTATCGCTATGTGGATTTTTTTTTTACTATATGAATTTTAAATGAAATAGTATAAACTGTTCTGCCACGTGTTCACGTTTCTGTAACACGAATTACAGGGAATAATATTAGCAATAACATGGAAGGAACTGAAAGCATGTTCTATGATCTTTTCTTCCAAGAGGAGCCAGATTAGGGGGATTAAGCCCTTTAGTTGGGTTGCTGCACTGGCAGTTGGAACCCTTTTGGGGATATTTTAAAAAAACCCTGCCACCCACCAGCTTTGTGGGGCTTTTGGCAGGCTGCTGGCCTTCCATGCCCCTGTGGCTCAGAGCTCTGCTCCTGTCTGTTCCACGTTGGCACCCACAGCCCTTCTCTAAACTGTTGTTCTATTTCCACTTTAAAAGCTACTGTGGCAACCTCCAGGCATTCTGCCCTGCTGACCTGGTAGTCCAAGTTGTTAGTGTGCTGGTTACAAAGAGGCTTAGTTGGAGTGGTCTGCCCCAAACCCTTTTTTATTTTCATGAACTGTTTTTGTGTGTGTGCTTTTTGCAGAGTGCAAGGTTTTTCAGGAATGAGTATACTGTGTTAAAACCTATTTTATTAGTTGCTACCTTTCATTTCCTGATGAATTCAACTTGGTCTGGATTGTTGAGAGCTTTGCCAATAAAAGGAAAGTCATTCAAATAGGATAATTTCAGTAATCCAAAATAGAACTCGTTTCAAGGACAGTCACAGCCTCTAAGATGTGGTGGCCATGAAGATACTTAGAATAAAGCAGTACCCAGTACCAAAGAGAAAATAATTCCCTGTGGACACAGGACTAACAAGTGTTTATAATAAAAAGGTGACCTTCCTTCACATTGTTCCCCAAGCTTAGGTGAAGCTGGTTGTGAGCAGGGGTGGTGGATTTTAAAATAATAAATCTCAATTATTCTGAGAACAATATTCCTTTTGACTTCACTTATGATACACAAAAGCAGAAGTTACTGAAGATTATCCTTCACATTATCATGATCCTCTGACCCTCACTGTATGTGTGTGTGTGTGCGTGCACGTGCATGCAATTAAAGGAAACTTGTCATATAGGCTCCCAATGTAGTGCTTGGAACAGGAGAACAATGTGTGTTGGGTGGGGGACTGCTTGTGTGAAACACTTCTCTCCTCTGGGTTGAAAACAGTCTTTGCTCTCAATCTGGTGTTTAACAGTTTGTAAATCAAGCAGAGGAAGAAAGTAGAGATTAGCTTTCTAAGAAATCTGAAATTACAAACATGAAACAAAGCAGGGAATACTTGTCCAAAAATATGTGATCATAAATATATATACTATATGATCATCTCTATAGATGCTGAAAAGGCATTTGACAAAATTCAACATTCATTCATGATAAAGACTTTCTACAAGTTAGGTACAGATGGAAAGTATCTCAACATAATTAAAGCCATATTTGATAAGCTCACTGCCAATATCATCCTCAGCAGGGAAAAGCTTTTCCCTTAAGAACAGGAGATAGACAAGGATGCCCACTCTTACCACTCCTATTCAATACAGTGTTGGAAGTACTAGCCAGAGCAATCAGAAGAGAAGGAAATAAAGGGCATACAGATTGGAAAAGATAAAGTCAAACTGTCCCTGTTTGCAGATGATATGATCCTATATATCAAATAGCCTAAAGCCTCTACAAAAGAACTCTAAGTGTTAATAAATGATTTCAGCAAAGTTGCAGGATATAAAATCAACACAAAAATCAGTAGCATTTCTATACCACAACAGTGAACATGCAGAAAAAAATCAAGAAAGCTAGCCCATTTACAATAGCAACCAAACAAATAAAATAATTAGGAATAAAGTTAACCAAGGATGTGAAAAATCTCTACAATGAGAACTACAAACACTGTTGAGAGAAATTAAAGAGGACACAAGGAGATGGAAAGATATCCCATGCTTTTGGTTTGGAAGAATTAACATTGTGAAAATATCCATACTACCCAAAGTGATATATAAATTCAATGCAATCCCCATCAAAATTCCAATGACATTTTTCTCAGAAATGGAAAAAACTATCCCAACATTTATATAGAATAACAAAAGACCATGAATAGCCAAAGCAATTCTGAGCCAAAAAAAATAAAGCTGGAGGCATAACACTACCTGACTTTAAACTATACTACAAAGCTATAATAACCAAAACAGCATGGTACTGGCATAAAAACAGACACACTGATCAATGGAATAGAATAGAGAATCCAACTGGATATCAATATGCAGGAGAATGAAACTAGACCCATACCTCTCACCATATACTAAAATCAACTCAAAATGGATTAAAGAATTAAATATACACCCTGAAACAATAAAACTCCTTAAAGAAAACAGGAGAAACACTTCAGGAAGTAGGACTAGGCACAGACTTCATGAATATGACCTCAAAAGCACAGGCAACCAAGGGAAAAATAAACATGGGATTATATCAAAGTAAAAAGCTTCTGCACAGCAAAAGAAACAATTAACAGAGTTAAAAGAAAACCAACAGAGTGGGAGAAAATATTTGCAAAATATATATCTGACAAAGTATTAATATCCAGAATATACAAAGAACTGAAACAACTTTACAACAAAACACAAGTAACCCAATTAAAAAATGGGTAAAAGAGCTAAATAGGCATTTCTCAAAGGAAGATATATGAATGGCCAACGGATATATGAAAAAATGCTCAACATCACTCAGCATTCGGGAAATGCAAATCAAAACCACACTGAGATACCATCTCACCCCAGTTAGGATGGCTAATATCCAAAAGACTGTGAATGATAAATGCTGGCGAGGTTGTGGAGAAAAAGGAACTCTCATCAATTATGAGTGGGACTGCAAAATGGTGCAACCTCTATGGAAAATGGTATGGAGGTTCCTCAAACAATTGCAGACAGATCTACTATATGACCCAGCTATCCCACTGCTGGGAATATACCCAGAGCAGTGGAAATCATCAAGTTGAAGGTATACCTGTTCAAGTCGAAGGTATATCTGTTCCCTAATGTTCATCGCAGCACTATTTACAGTAGCTAAGAGTTGGAACCAGCCAAATGTCCATCATCAGATGAGTGGATACAGAAAATGTGGTATATCTACACAATGGAATACTACTCTGCTAGTATTTCGGAAATGGCTATACACACACGTTACTATAAGATTCAGAAATACTACTCCTCAGCATTGACCAAAGATAAACAAAGCTTATGTCCATACAAACACTTGTATGCAACGTTCACAGCTGCATTATTCATTATAGGCCCAAAGAGGAAACAATCCAAATGTCCATCAAGGGGTGAATATATAAGAAAATATGATATATTCATTTAATGGAATACAACTCAGCACTAAAAATAAACAGACTACTGATATTAACATGGATAATTCTCCAATGCATTATGCTAAGTAAAAAAAGCTACTTTTAATTAACTACATACTGTTTTATTCCATTAAATGACATTCTCAAAAAGGTAAAACTACAAGTACAGAAAATAGATCAGTGATGCTGCCAGCAGCTGGTAGTGTGAAAAGGGATGTAAGAAATTTTGAGGGTATGACAGAATTGTTCTGTATCATGATTATGGTCATGATTACATGAATGTATCCATTAGTCAAAACTCACAGAACTGCCACACAATGAAGAAAATTCATTACATATAAATTATACCTTAATTTTTTTAAAGTTTGCTGTAATCACACCTTAATATGTGAAAAGTGAGCTGTAATCAAAAGGCTACTAAAAAGATGGAATAAAATAGATCCTGGAAACAGACACAGTATGTAAGGATATACAACATAATACAAGGATTTAAAAATCATAAAAGAAGATGCAAATTTTTTTCAATACCTAGTTCATTCATTCAACTATATTTATTGAGTGCCAATTGTGTGCCATGGTACTGTTTTAGGCACTGGAGATATAGCAGCAAACAAAACAGACAATATTTTCCTCCTTCACAATGCTTGCATTTTTGTGAAGACAAACCGTAAATATAATAAATAAACAGTATATTGTTATAAGGTAGCAAGTGCTATAGAGATTACTAAAACAAGGTAAGGACAGTGAAGGGGTGTTATTGTGATGTTGAGAAAACTATGTAGTCATTTGGGAGAAAAAGTAGAATCCTACATTCATACCTTAAGAAAAATCTGAATATTCTGCAACTCAGACACAAACAATTTAAAGAATGTATCATTTCATCACAATGAACACAGGGTAAAATGCTTTCAAATAGGAAGTGCTTTAGGTGAGATTACTCAGAAACAAATCAAAATTAACAAAATCTCAATGAGTACAAAGAGTTCTTTAATCAGCAAAACGTTCATTTTTGTTATCAATCCTATTTGCTCATAGACAAAAT